GCACCCAGAGGGCAGCTGAAAAAAATTTGTAGCTCCAGTTCCATGGGATTTGATGCCCTCTCTGACCTCTGAGGGCATTGCACAACAGGGGTGCACCTACCCACATATAGGCAATACAATCATACAAATAAAATAAATATAATAAATAAAAATTTTAAAACATAATATGTAAACATAAAAAAATACCTAGGAATAGGGATTAAGTAAAAATAATACCTGCTGTGTATAACTATATGCACCCACAATCCCAGCACTGGGAAGGTGGAGGCAGGAGGATGTAAGTTTGAAATGCAAGGAATATAATTATTTTGTAATTGTTTAACACTTTACAATTCACAAAGCATGTTCTCTTACATTAACAACCCTGAGGACAAATCAGGGATTCTTATTATTATTTTAAAGAGAAATTTGAGAATGGAGAGACTGATATGTTGAATGTTAAATTTTAGACATTAGAAGAGCTAGAACTTGAACAGAGTATTTACTCTGAAATCCGAAAGTTTGTAACTTACTAGTTACTAATACATCTATGTGGCACACAGAGGAGAGTGAGTTAGTTGTGTGTATGCAGAAATGATATGGTTGAAGGTGGGCAGCAATAAATGGACAGTTTCGGTAAAGGAAATGATCTTAGAGAAAGCACATAGACAAGATTCACTGAGTAGACAGATTTATATTCTACCTTCATGTCTCTATGTTTCAGAGGAGACTCTTACTTCCTGCCAGCAATTAGGTTGCAGTGTAGACAATCCACTCACATCTGCAAAGCTTCTTCTGAACCTTTGGTGAATGCATGATCTTCCACCTGGGGTCAGTAATCATCCCTTACACCTGATGCCTGGGGCATTTTTGTGGAATTCCAATCACACTGAATCCAAGATGTTGACATGGGGTGAGATCATCCCATTGCCATTGTGGCTTTGGATCAGAAATAGAATTGTTCGGTCTCCCTTAGAACATTTGGTTTGATTATTCTACTAGTTTTGAGTCACATATTCTCAGATGTAAATAAGTTTGCATATTTATATATATATTTGTTTAGAAAGAAAAATGTTTTCCTAAGTTAGATTTTTAATCTTCAAACACTGATCAACATCGATTAAAATTTTTTAAATATTGTATTTATTATTTTTATTTTATGTGTATGAATGTATTGCCTGCATGTGTGTAAGTGCACCCATGTTGTGCAATGTCCGCAGAGGTCAGAAGAGGGCATTGGATCCCCTGGAACTGGAGTTAACAGACACTTGTTAGCCACCTTTGGAGTGCTGGGAGAGGAACCCTGGTCCTCTGCAAGAGTAACTGCTGAGCCATCTCTCCAGCCCCAGGATTAAAATATTTTACTTATGACTCATCTTTATAGTTTTTCATCTTTTATCTTATACATTCATACAAGCTTCTATGCTCTGAGCATTCTCGGTTAGGATATAACATCCCAGGATTTTCTTTCTTTCTTTCTTTTTTCTTTTTCTCTTTTTAGTACTCCTCATGGAATCCTTTTATGGCTTTGGATAATGTTAAATAATGAATAACTAATGTTTCTCACCCTTCATTTTCTAAAGGATACGTTAAAATCGTTTTTATTACTACGCCATGGATAATGTGTTTTAGTGCTTTAATTTAGTATAACAATGCGAATTTAAATGACAGATACTGGAAGATTCATTGAAATCTTGGTTCTTTATCCTTAGACATTTGTAAAACAGCATGTCTAACTAGTCTGTCTTTGTTAACCGTTGTGTTTTAAGCATACCAGTCTTTCCTAGTGTAAAAGGTATCTTATGCCACAATATCAAGTAGACAGTATGAACAGGATGCAAATCATTTCCTTATTCCACCACCTAGAAAGAGCCGTCAAACATGCATTCTGTTTCCCTCTGTTAGCATGGGCATAACTCTGCATTTTGGTGTCCTGTGGCATAATTTTATGTGCATGGTAGATGATGAAGGAGTCCGACATAATAGATAGCTGATGTCTCCAGGGTTTGTTGTTTACTCATATTTACTTTTTAATTTTTTAATTTGTTTTACTTTTTACTATTTCTGTCAGGAGCCTCTTTTTCCCCGTGGTTTGCACCTGGAACCATAGATTCACAAAGTGAAATCCTGGAATTAACAGTTGCTACATTTTCAGATTTCCGGCTCAACCTCAATCCCCCCAGCATCTCAAATCCCCGTAATCCAACTTCCCACAACAGCCCAACTACCTAATATATTTGGATTCTTGCTGCAATTTGCTCTTTTGACTGAATTAAAAATCATTCTAAAAGTTTGCCTTAAAACGCTTTAAAAGTGTTACTAAATTAAGGTTAAATCTCAAGTATAAATTTTCAAGCAATTAGCTTTGGTTTTTAGCTGAACAGAAAACCCCACAGACGATGCCGAATACAAACTATTTACACACTACCATAGTGCGTTTCTTATAAAAATGTTGGGTCTGTAGCAGTGATTTGCTAATCAAATTCAGAATTTGATTTGAAATGCCTCCGGCAGAAGGCCAATCCAGTTATGAAAGAACAGAAGCAAAAACCAGAGCCCTGGTGGGCAAGCTCCAGAAGCTAGCTAAGCTCTTTGCTCTCATTAGCAAACTTGTTCCGTAGGAAATCATTGCAATTGCTTCAAAAATAAAATATCATAGCTAATTTTTTTCAATAAATTATTGAACTGTCCAAGACAAAAAACATGTACATTTTGGAATCTAAAGTTATAAAATATTCTGACATGTTTTAATATAAACAGGAACATTTCCAATGATTGCTTGGATCTAAAATGTTTTTCCACTTGACATTTGTTTATACTTCCTAGGAAAGAAACTCTATTTATGGATAACTGAATAACACAAATAAACATCAGAGAGAGCTGAAAAATCAGCTTTGATTATGCATGAAAATCTACAATGTCATTGTGTACTCTTGTGCCGTATTCTGATTGCCTGTTTATTTTTACAGAGCTGCTGGTGAGCCCATGGAAGAGGAGCCAGCCTTGTGAAGTGCCAAGTCTCCCCCGATATTTCCTGTGTGTGACATCATTGTGTATCCCCCCGACCCCAGCACCCTCAGACATGTCTGCTGCCTGGGTGGTACAGTTCGATGGAACATAAACACTGGGCACAGAATTTTGAACAGCAGCTTCACTTGTTTTTTGGATGGACTTGAAAGGGCATTAAAGATTCCTGAAACGTAACCGCTGAGATTCTAAAGTTACAGTAAACCACCATTGGAAGAAACTGCCTCCAGCGCGCTTTTATGCTGGGTGACCTACTCCCAGACATTAAGGATGGAGCTTGAAACCTTCAATACAGCGTTAGATATTGTTCATTTCAGAAGCTGCGACAGCCAGTGAAGTTTTGGGCAAAACCTGAGACATTCGTTCCTGACATTCTGATCAGTGTTCTATTGTGTAGTTTTCTGTCAAGCAGGTTTAAATTGTTGATAGGATTTGTTTTCAGCTATGAATGAATGGGAATTACAGACAGATTGCAGTGGATTTTAGGGATTTTTTTTCTTTTTGTTGTGTTTTCTTTTTTGCCTTTGTTTTAACACACACTTCAATCCTTCCTGGGAAGAGATCGAGATGGAAGGCCTAGAGAGAAGCCTTTTTTGGTGGCATAAACCATGGTGTATTTGAGTCCTCATACCAAAGGTGCTTTGTACACTGTATGGAATGGTGTGTTGCTTTGTGTCATATCCTTTGAGTAAAAAATTATTTCACTCTGTTAACATCTGCCTGGTGTCCTCACACAAGGTCTATTTGTGGTCTGTCAGATCGGGAGGTCTCTCCACCCCCAGCATCCCTGCCTGGAAGACAGTGCCTCTGAGGATGTGTCCCATGGAGGATGTACAGTGTCTTCCAAAAGTACTTCACGCTTCAGTCTAATCCTAATTTGTCCCAAATCCGTCAGGCATGTATTCTCACACCTTTCTTTTTCTGCCCCTCTGCCTCGTTCCATCTTAACTCTATCCTTTCTTCTTTAGAAAATGTGAAGACCACCCATAATCTCTGTTACTTGCTGATTTGAGCATTTAATTTATTTTGTTTGCTTTCCAGGTTAACCCACTTTCATTACTTGATTCGGTTCTTTTAGTTAGGAAAGTATTGTAGTAAATGGTTTAAGCAATGCCACTGAATTTTCCAGATCCTGGAAATGTGTTAGTGAAGACGTGGGCTATCGGAAGTCCCTTTGACAAGGGCTTCTCAGGAAGTCCTGCTTTCACCTGAAAACACACCCAAAATTTACCCTTTGCACATGTGGCCTGAGTGGCAAACATTAAAAATTGAGGACTTTTATTTCTGATGTTACAAGCAGCTCACTGAATACAACACAAGCAAGTTAGCCCCTACCTCTGAAAATTCTATTTCCGTGTCTGACTCAAACACCGAAAGATGATGGGGTAGAATGCCTCACACATTTAATATCTGACAGTGCTTTTGAACATTGATGTTTCTTTTTATATATTTTCCTAACTCAAAGAATATATTAAAGCCATAAGTGAAGATTGTCATGCTTTTATTCAGAAATCTGAACAAAACCTTAATTAAAACAAGGTTTTAGGGAAGGCCATGATATGAGTGATAGGGAGCAATGTGGTTTCAGTTAGGGAGGACTCCCACCTGTAAATCAAAGATGAAAGGCTTCACTCAACTAGAATTATATAACTCCCTTTTGTTATATAGTCTGACTATATTTTTCATGCATTTGTTTTTTTTAGGATTACAATTTTAATTTTAAAGACTTTTATTATATATACAAAAATGGCTCAGTACTTAGTTTAACATCTTAGAAATTTGAGATACCCTTTGAAATAGAAAATCTGAAATGGAATGTAACTCAGTGTTAGGTAAAAATTACTTTCATTGCATAAGGTGTAGGTCAATCTAGACTCATAATTGTAATAAATTGCTTTGTAAATTTCTTGAAATTTTCAGAGATATTCTTTCCAATTATATTTGCTAACTTTTTGTAGTAATTACTTGAGGTAGTTTTCTTAAAGAAAACCAAAAGCTTACAAAAAAAGCTCTTACTTTTAAAAGGGAAAATTTGTCATGCTTTATTTAGAGATATAATTGTGAAGCTTTAAAACTTCTTAATTACAAATCCCTATTATTACTCTTCAGTCCTTTCAAATATATTTTAGATATTGCATCATGAAATGAAACATGTTTGATAGCACAAACATGCTGATTTACCAGTGTGCCCTGCAACTACATGGCTACATCTTTAAGGTAAGCTGTCAGTCTGATAAAGACAAATCACGAGCGTGCCTCTGTGATAGTTAGATTTTCAAAAATACTCAAGAGTTCATCACACAGCCTAGTGTGTGACACCGTACCTAACTGACCTCAGTAAGAATTATTAGAATACCAGGAGAGGCAGATAAACTGTGGTGAGGGTTAATCACAGCTGAATGTAGTTGTAAGAACTGAATGCCAGCACATTTTGATTATACCGTTACAAGATGGAGTAAGGCCTGAAGGACAGAATGGGGAGTTACAGCAACATCAACACGTCTTTTGAACTTGACCAGCAATTTTGAATAGGTGGCTCACTTGCATTGTTTTTCTCACGTGTACATTTCGTTCTTAATGCTCCCACTGGTTCCCAGGGAATGACTAGTGGAAAATGTTGTCAAATTTCGATCTCATTCTGATCCATGATTTGAGAGATAATCACATGAGCTCCCTCACAGTCTCAACATAACTCATAAATGGTGGATTAAAATAAGATTTTTGAGAAGTATGCTAGCAAGCAATGCTAAGAGTTTAAAGAGGACATGAAGAGAAACATTAACAAAATCCATTTTCTTGGTGATACAACTTGAAGTTGTATTTTACACTGAATGAAACACAGTTTTATTAAGCAGTGAGTAAAATGGGCCTCAAATGAAAGCAGGCTGAGTTATCACTGATGAGTCAACAGGAAGGCTAATAGGGACAGAATATGCTAGCGTATGTTTGACATCTATACTGGAGATAGAAGTCAGCTTCAGGGAAAATAGATAGTTGTTTTAAAACTCCCACCACTCACATTTCCACAACTAGTCCTAGGAGCAGAAACCTTGCCTCAGTGCTGGCTACAGCCCTCTGGGGACACATTTCATTCATCTCACTGAAAGTACAGTGGCCTTGAAAATGAGGCAACTCCTCCCACAAAGATCTCAAAACCGTGGGTCTAGTTTCTTCTGATAGTTCAGCCCTGCTTTATTTCTAGAGGTCAATCATAAAGCTTTGTGGATTTACTGTTTTCTTTACAGACTCCATATGGGAGTAAATGTGAATGATCATGTGAAAAGTCTCCTGAAAGAAAATTCCTCAGTCAGCACTTTTAAGTCTTAAAAAAAAAAAAAAAATCCCAGCACTTATGTATAAGACAATTAGGTATTTCTTTTACTGTTTCTCTTTTCAAAGTTTATTCTCTGTCTCAATGGATGCAAGTCTTTAAATCAAAAAGCCTGAAAATGAGCCAAAATTTTGTCATAAAAGTGAATCATTATAAGCTTGAAATAACCATTCTATCAGAGTTTGACACTGCCCTTTCTTAGCCTGCTTCAGGAGTGAAATCATTTGCATGCTAAGAAAGGCAGGGTTGGGGGGGGGGGGGACACACAGGACACCCGTCGGGCTATTTCTGTAAAGACGGCATTTTCACCTCCAAAAAGGATGAAAGGCAGATGATCTATACTAGGAAGCAATGGCATTCAAAACTGATCTTCAACCTGGTCGTGATCACCATCGAGGTGTGTGTGTGTGTGTGTGTGTGTGTGTGTGTATTCTCCAAAGACAAAATTGTATTTTGGTCTCTAGGAGAGCTCTGCACTTTCACTGCCCTTTAACAGAACTCTTAGAAAGTAGTTTATCACCTTCATCAACACCATCACTAAAACATGTAAGTGCCTATGTGTGACTATTTTCTTTGGACATATTTACATTGGAAATCACAGCTGTTGTTTCCTAGTCCTAATGCTCTGCTCTTGCTCCATCAAATGCTTCATGAAGCAGTACATGATTGTATGTGACCAGAGAGTATGGGAATTTGAGATGAACATACTGTATACACCCAGGAGTACAGAATTTTCTTTTTCCAAACCAATTACCACACATTTTACCTATGATATTCCTGATTGGTTTTATATAATATATTAGGTAGCAACTGAGTCTGTTATTAAGATGTTGGGAAGAGCCAGATTAGACAAGCCTTAGACTATTGATCTGGGGCTATTTCAAAATTAATGTCAATGGAAAGGTATTAGAGCTGTAATAATTTCCCAAACCATATTAATTCTCAAACTGGAACAGCTAGGAGTACATGATGATTCCACTCTACATGCCAATATTTCTAACCAATTATTTCCTTTCTCCTTTCTCTGTTCCCCCTGCTTGCCAGTACACAATTGGCATATCTAAATAATCAGAATTAATTTCTGAACTTTCTACTTTATATTTCCCAACAGAAACAACCCTGAAAGTTTCTCTTCTGAGACTCCACTGAGCATGCTTACCTCCATGCCATTTTATGGACACTCTGATAGATAATCATGATTGTATTTTTCATTTATTCCTTATTAAGAAACACCTAACCTTTTAAAACTATCTTTATCAAAAAAATTGCCCAAGTCTGTTTTATTTTAGAGTTGGGACATGTGACTTTAGTTTATTAGTGAAGAATTTTATTTTTGTTTCAAATATTGTTTTCAAGATTCTTATTACAATCCAGTTGGCAGTACTTAGTTACAAGCAGAGATCACATATATACTTTCCAAGATCTTTGGAAGACGTTTGTGTCAGTCAAACTCAAAAGGACACATGACCATCTGAATGAAAAAAAATGGAAAGGAGAAGCTTAAAATCCATATATTTGGGGAATAAAAGATGTCTGGCTTGTTTAATAAAAACTCTAGACTTTTTAACTTTCTTGTTTGGTCAATAATCACCTTAGAAGCAAGTTACAATACCATATAGTAGGTAGCATCAATTTTCTTCTGGGACATTGTGGTCATGCCTTTTAACCTTTGTAGTGCTCATTTTTGAATACAATAGTTTGTGATAAATGACAGCATTATTATAGCAATATCTGGATTTGGGACTTTATTGACATACAATTGGGTAGAAATTGAATAACAAAAACTTCTGAAATAATTAAAATTTTTATAATTTGAAGAGGAATTGCACTTCCTTGGATATAAGAAGACTGTTAGGAAGGGGGAAAAAACTTCATTAGCTCTTCCTAAAGTGTAAGATTCTCAAACGTCTTTGGATAAGTAGTGTCGGTGTATAACTTCACAGCAACTGGGTGTAATGAAATTGCTCTCTCAGTGGCCTGTGTGCATAACAAAGTGTGCTGACAAAAGTAAGTTTTTTAGATTGTACACTTGGCACTTTGTGTTGTTTGAAAGCAAACATCCTGATATTTCAAAATAAGTTGGGCAGGTTAGGCAGGAAACCAATACTTATTACTTTGGTGATTAACTGCTAGACCAGGATTGTTGGAGTGTGTGCCAATGATCTGGAGTTTCTGGCTTAGTGTAAGGTAACTTGACTTTTCTATTGTAGGCTTATATCTGTTTCTGTAATAAGATCAGTTTGTTGTCTTCTGTGCACAAGTGGTTTTGCCCTTAAATTTTTGGCTAGCAGTCATCAAAATCTGTCATCCAGAGCTGCTGAGAAAAATATGTTGCCAAATAAAGTTCTGCCAGTGGTGTTTTCCCAGATGTGCAAGATAATTATCAAATGAAGGATTAATGCCTAAAAACAGCACCATTGTGAACATGTGCACAAAACAGTCACCTTCTTTCTGATTCCTTTTTTGTATTTGGAAATACAATGTTATGTTCCAAGCTATTGCTGATGTTGTTAGTGTCATGATTCCTTTAAAAGAATAAACAATGCCCTTTTGTCTTGTTCTGTCTACTGAATTCGATTTTCCCTTAGTACTATATGAACAAAAGCGATTTGAAATTATTTACCCTAGGTGCCCTCCATTAGGCTTTGCATACCAGAAACTTGACAAGATTTTTGAATAAATAAAATATTAATTCATGAATTTTTGAATAAATAAAATATTAATTCATTAATTATGACATACATTATTCCACTTTTAAAACTGGATTTACTTGCAAATATTTCTTGGAATAAATGAGAATCTACATCAGAAGAAAAGGTGCACTCATTCACACCTGTAATCCCATCACTCTAGCCTGAAGCAGGAAGATTGCTACAAATTCATGTCAACCTAGCTACATAGTAAATTTTAGGCAAACCTGGTCTACAGTGTGAGAGCCTATCTCAAACAAAAGCAAAATTCAGTTAGAGTTTGAATGTAGTGTTCTTGTCACAGTAAAAATAAAAATGATTGAGTAGATATCATATACCTGTTATTCTTTGGAACTCCGTTTGACCATCACACCATATGTAATTGCTCCCTTTTACAGGTGAAAATATCAAGAATCAAGTTAAATTCACCCATCATTAAAGTCGGTAAGAGATTACAGTCAGTAGAGATATCCATATCTTTCTAGCTTTAAAATGTCTATCCCTTCTCTAAATGGCATCTATTGCCAATCAAAGATGGTGTACTAACTATATTTTAACTAAAAATTTACGACTAGCCCTTAAAATGGACTGTGTGCTCAGCTTCCACTGACCTGAAGATTTTATGAAAGTATCATGTCAAATAGATCTGGTAATCATGGCAAGGTTTGTACAGTAAGTACAAGTTACAAACAGTTCTTTCCTTATTTCAACATATCAATTTAATCTAGGCAAGCACTAAGGATGTTTTTGGAACACACACTCCAAAACTCTTGAAATCTAGTTGAAAACCAACACTTGTTTTTATATTTTATAACCCCTGCAATGTTTAACATCCTAAAGCATAAATGTTTCCAATGGACAATGGTTTGGGTTCCTTTTGGGAAAAGATAAGTGATATTTTGTCTAACAGAAAGTAAACTAGAGAAAGAGTCGGTGAGTAGAGCTGGTTTTGATGGTAAACACGTTTGGTTTAATCTGATTTGTCAAATGGTAAAATGTTACTTAATGGTTTTCATTTCTTTTACGTTTCCATGGTGAACAGAGAACAATTTAAAAAGTTAAGTATAAGGAGAAAAACAAGAATGACTGTGGCATTCATGTAACAAGTAGTTGTAGCTGAAAATAGAAATCGAAAGAACATCTTTTATTACTTAACATTTTTGAGTTTGTATTCTTCAGTGTTACTGAACTCAAAGTACTTCCAAACACTAATTACTCCTGAGCGTTGTAATATCAACAGGACAAAGTCTTTTGTTTTTCTAGGTTGATCATAAAGAAGACACAGCCAAGACAGTTATATGAGATCTCAAGGGCTGGAGGGATTGCTCAGTGGTTAGGAGCACTGGCTGCTGCTGAAGATTCCCCAGGTTCAATTCCCAGCACCCACATGGTGGTTCTTGTGGAGAACCCAGGTTCAATTTCTAGCATTCACATGGTGGCTAACAACCATCAATATCTCTAGTTCCAGAAAATCTGACACCCTATTCTGAACTCCACAGGCATTGCACAACACAGGTGCACTTACATGCATGCAGGCAATATACTCATACACATAAAAAATGAAAATAATAGAAAAATCAGATCTCAAATAATCTATCAGCATCCTAGAAAAGCAAGAAAAATGTAAATACAAAAGAAGTCAATGGTAAAGAGTCACAACAATAAGATGGAGACAGAAGGAACAATACAAAGTGTTGATCAAAACAAAATCAGTTCCTTGAAAAAAAAGATAGAATGACAGCTTGTAACCAAACTAACCAAAAGTAGGAGAAGTCTCAAATTAGTAAAATTAGAGATAAAAGTGGAAAATTCCTACTGATTACACAAAATCCTCAGGGTGCACTTCAAAAATTCATAGATGCAACTGAAATCATTTGTTAGGTACAATAAGCCAGACTCAGAAAGAGAAATATAACACTTTCTCTCATATGCATAACCTAATATGATTTTAATTTACATATGTATGGGGTGTGTGTCTCGTAGGTCATGAAAGTAGAAAGGGGCTCTTGAAAAGGGAAGAAAAGACACTAAAGTAGGTGACAATCAAGAGGATACTATATTATATTGAAAGAAGACACAATGGAGGACTAATTTTGGGGAAACAGGAAACCAGCTAGATGAGGGTCGGGGTAATGGGGAAGGGGAACTATTGAGAGCAAAGTATAGGACACATATGTATGAAGATGCCACAACGAGACCCAAGACATTGTGTGATAAACTCAAATATCAATAAAAACAAAACTAAATGAACACAATACAATTAAAAAGAATTTTTAAAAGATGAACTTTGATCTGAGCTTTGAGCCTTGATGTGATTGTCTATTAAATTATTTCCCTTACAGGATTATCTTGAAGTTTCAATGAGAGCACAGGGAAACTTAGTATTTTATTTTTAGAATGAATAACTAAAACAGCATGAATAACAGAGATTTAAATGTAATGCACTAAAATTTGCATTCTTAAATGATCTCACTTAAGAGATCATTAGGAATGACATTAAATTGGGAATACATCTTCATCGAATTAACTTATTAAAATACTCACTTTTGACACTAAAGATTTACTTTGATCACATTTTAAAAATTTAAACTCTGGCATAAAGAAATAGTCCATATGTTTAAATAAGTAGATACTATAAAACAATCTACTTGCTTCATGCAGACATTCATTTTAAAACACAAAATTATATCTATACACATAAAACCAGTTAAACCTTATTATTTTGAAGAAAATAATTAGGGGAAGATATATGTGGGCTTATATTAGGTTTTAATGTATTATCTACTCTGCCTAAATGGAGTCCAAAGAGATTTTGTAAAAGATTTTATTTTATTTTTTTTAGTTATGTGGTTATGTTTGCGGGGGGAAACGCATGTATGTACAGGTGTGCTCAGAAGCTAGAAGATGGGTTGGAGCTGGAGTTACAGGCTGTTGTGAGCTATGCAACACAGGTGGTGGGAACCAAACTCAGATCCTCTGGGAGAGCAGCAAGTGCTCTTAACTGCTGAGACATCTCTCCAGCCCTATTAATGAGTTTTTTTAGACATACTAAGAATTTTACGGCTTTTTTCTTCTTCTTTTCCTGTCTCCTGTATTTTACACATTAAGAAGAGATCACTTACTCACCTCTTTTCTGAATCTTGCTTCTTTATTCTTAAGACACGTAAAAGAACAGTTATCCAAGATACATGTGGAGCAGGGTGCCCCTTTAATTCTGAAAGCAAGGAAGCAGAGGCAGGTAAGTCTGTGAAATTGGGCCAGCCTGGGCTACATAGTGACGGGGAGTCCCTGTCTGAAAAAGAAAAGAAGAAACATGTAGACATTGCGCTTTCATTTTCATTTGATTCTAGAAACTTTTCACTTTCCTTACTGATTTCTTCAATGGTCCATTGGTCCTTTGGGAGGATATAGTTCAATAACTACATATTTGTTGAGTTTCTGTAGTTTTTCATGCTGTTGGTTTCTAGTTCATTGCACTGTAATATGATAAGATATGATAGTATTTTAATTAATTTGTATTAGATATGATTTTGTATGTGGTCTGTTTCAGAGAAAGAGAAATGGAGTGCTAAGAATATGCATTCTGTTTTGTTGGATAGGGTAGTCTGTATGTTCTTCTTAAGTCATTTAAATGATGGTGCAGTTCAACTCTGATGTGTGGTTATTGATTTTCAGTTTGGATTGTCTGTCTACAGACGAGAGGAGGAAATTGAAATCACCCATTGTTGTTCTATCTCGGTACTTATCTACCTTTGATGTCTATTAGTACACTAACTTTTATGAACTTGGGAGCACCCAATACTTAGTACATGTAAATTTACAGCTGTCATATATACTTGATGAAATTTTCTCCTTTATTGTAGTGGCCTCCATTATCTCTTCTGATGTTTTTTGGTTTGAAATCTACTTTATCGGATCTCAGAATATCTGTCTCAGCTTCTCTTTGGTTTCCATTCACTTGAACAACTGTTTTCCATCATTTGATTCTCATCTCTGGAGGGTTTTATGAGTAAGATATGCTTCTTGTGCACAACAGAAGTTTAGATCTAGTTTTCTTATTCAGCAGAGAGTATGTATCTTTTTATTCATGAATTGAGGCCATAAAGTTTTTAATAATTTCTGTAGTGTTGTTGGTTGTTTTTCTGTTTGGTTGTTTGTTCTCTACTTTTCCCCTATTAGTATCAAGGGTTTGATGATTTACTGTTTTGAGCATGATGAATTCTTTTCCAGCTCTCAGCTGCTTAACAATTCCTCTAATAAAAGGATTTTTCTCATGCTGTCATGATTAAGACTGCCTTTCTTCTTCTGTGTAGAATATTTCTTATAATCTTCGGCAGTGCTAGGTTGGTGGTCATCATGACCTGCCCTAGCTTGTACCTATCTTAAATGCCCTCATTTCTTTATTAATTCTAAATGATGGAAAAATATGAATTGTTTCATAAATCTGCATGTCATCATTGTGCAAGAGCCATTCTCATCTCAGTATTGTTCTAACTTTAGTATACATGCTCGGCTGATTTACAAAACACCCATGGTCTGTACTGATGTATTTAATATAATCTGCATTCACTAAATATCTGTACTATGTCATTATAGTAGTTACTTTTCTGTTGCCAAGATAAACACCATGACCAACGTAAGTTATAGAATGAAGCGTTGACTGGGCTACAGTTCCAGAGGATAAAGACTGCATCATAGCTAGGAGGCATGGCAGGACGCAGTCAGAACAGAGCTGAGAGCTCACATCTTCAAGCAGGCACAGGAAGAACAGAAGGTGAAACAGAAAATGGGATGTGGCTATGAACTCTTAAAGCCACCCCCACTGACATGCTTCTCCCACCAAGGCCATGCCTCTTGAATCTCCACAAACAGCACCAACAACTGATCAAGTGTTCAGATATTTGGAGCCTATGAGGCCCACTTACTCAAACTACTACAGTCACATATATTCAATACCTATTTTCAGGCCATTATGGAAACTAACAAGAAATTTGGCGATATAATTATGAAAAAGAAATGAAAATTTCTTTAAAATTCCTCTGGTGTAGCTATAATGTTAAAACACAGTAGGTGTGGCTTAGGATTTGTGACACCAAGACTTTTCAAAGTGTGACTTCACTTATTTCTACATAGAGTTATAATATAGCAAAGATAAAATACATTCAAGAAATATAAGCCATCTAAACCACATATAACTGTATGCAGGGGAGATTTGGGCATAGTACCATCAAGAAAGTGGAGATGATTTAGATATTGTATTTATCGTGTGATAACAGTGTTAAGATAGAGAGGTGGAGGTGTGGCTGAGTAAAAGCATTTTTCTAATATGAACAAAATCTGTTTTGAATCTCTGGAACCAAAAAATCAGTGCACATTTATTAAAGGACTGCTATATACTGGAACAGTCCCTTATCACTACATCTTTTAAGCTTAGTGGAAAATGGATGGCAAAACATGTGGAATCTATGACAATCTGCATACAAAATCATTGCTCCGAATATGAAGAATTAGAAGCAATCTCTGTGTTATATCTGGATTAAGATAAGTCAAGGAAATAATGGGTAGACTCTACTGAAGAAAGGAGGAGAATCAGAAATCACAAAAGAGATCAGAGGTTCTACAAAAACTTGTAAAATAGAAGCGGTAAGCACAAAGATGAGCTAGTCTACTTGGACCCCAACATGGAGAACAAGAGACTGTAGTCAAGCCTCTCCACAGGACACGTTCACAGCTCTCAAAAGCCTGAAATATGCTTGGGCGATTTATTATGAGAGTGACTTCTAAACAACAAGTCACCATGAAAGCCGTCCCTTTTGTACTCTCCCTACTCAGAAAGTGATAATCAGGCATCATCATGGAAAGGGAGAGAGAGAGAGAGAGAGAGAGAGAGAGAGAGAGAGAGAGAGAGAGAGAGAGAGAGAGAGAGGAGAGAGTGTGTCATGGAGCCTGGGGACATCCAGCCACAGTTTCTGAGGTAAAGATGGCTGAACAAGGTAGTCAGGGATTAGAAGATGCCTAGATACAGAAATCTTGAGCAGTGACATACTCAGTGGTCTGTCTGTGATGCCATCTTCATTTGTGAGGAGCAACTGTTGAAACTGAGAACCCTAAGCCAAAAGTCCGAAGCAGCTTGCACACAGTTACCACCGTGTTGTGGGTTTCCATTAACAGGATGAAAACTCTAAAGCTTGGGACCAGTAGCCATTTCCCAGCCTGCTCCCTCCCACAGGGTGTTAGATGTTGAGAAGATTAGAAAGCACTAAGACAAGACCTCTAGTGACAGATCTCAGCACTCTACTTGCCTTCCCTACATGTCATATACTCCAAAGAATCCCTTTGGCTTAGGGACTAGATACACTGATGTGTACAAATGGGAAGTAGCTGGAGCTGGTGAGGTCCTGCCTGCCCTGCCCCTACTGCACAGGTGACAGGGGTCAGAGGTAGGTCCATGCAGGCAAAGAAGAAACTCCCCTAAAGTTCCTGCAGCACTGCTGAGAACTGATCCTTGGTCCTTCTGAGCTGAGGTATCAGTTACCAGAGGAGGAAACAGAAGAGACCCAACCTTCACCTGCCCCTTCCGCCTGGCCAGCGGGTACTGGGGAATCCAGAAAGAAGCAGCTTCTTGTACTTTTTTCAGGTATTTTTTTCCTTTTGTTCTTTGTGTTTTCCCTTTTACTAAACTTTTAGAAATATTACATTCAGACATGAATACAGCTTCAATAATTCTGAGACATGATCAAGAGGTAAAGCCGAAGGCTCCATAAGTTGAGAAAAACTTATAGCAGAAAATTCCCCAAATCTAAGGCAAGAAAGTTTTCATTGATAAATAAGTCATCCTGCTCAAAAACCAACAAAATTAAAAGTAAAATCATACCATATATCAAATGACTGTAACCAGCATCTGTGGAATAGTCTGCCCAGTGTTGTAGAATGCATGTTTTCTCAGTAGCTTATAAAATATTTTTGGTACTTTTGCTTGTTTTGCTGCTTCTTTTTAAATACCATTTTTATTTATTCTTTGAAAATTTCATACACTTATTCAACATATTTTGATCATATTCATGCACAACTACTTCCCTCTAACTCCCCCCGTAGCCCCCCCATAACATCTCCCTCTTTCTCATCTTCATGTCCTCCTTTTTAATTTTACTGGTATCAATACCCTCCTGATTCCATATTCGCATGAATGTAGGGCTTTCCACTGGGGCCTGGGCAACTTATCAGGAGCCAGCCCCAAAGGAGGGTGACTCTCCCTTCCTCAGCAACCATCAACTGCCAATAGCAACCCTGTCAAGAATGGGACCCCAGGGGTCCCTCCCTCATCGATGCTGGAATTTTGATTGGCTTGATCTTATGCAGGTCTTGTGCGGGCAACCACAGCTGTTGTGAGTCGATGTGTACAACAACGTCATGTCCAGAAGTCAGCATCTCACATCTCTTCTCTACACCTGTCAGCCCTGACGTTTTTTCTACCCCCCTTGCTTCAATGGTTCCTGATCCTTGGATGGGGGACTTAATAGTGGCCCAGTATAAGAAACTATGATAATCAGGGACTACTCTACATCTAAAATGCTTGAGTTAGAAAAGACTTTTAAACATGAAATATGAGATCTCCTTATAGCCTAACATCTGAAGCTATGGGACATGGAAGTAGGTAGGATCAGTGTAAATACTATGGAAGCAGGGAAACCAAGTAATACAGTTACCTGTTCCCCCTTGAGACAAAGATTTTGTAATTTCAGACAGTCTAGGCTCATGTGAACCATTATGGACACTTGATTATTGCTGACTGAGACCTTCTGATTATCAGGGACTAGAAGACACTATAGGAATTCAGGAGGCACTGATGGAACCAGCGTGTGAGAGCTGGTGCTGATACTCAGTTCACTGAACTTGATCCAACTGTGTTCATAGGGGAGTTAAGAACAAGGTTGATTCAACAGGGACCTCAGAACTGATAATGCTTTAGTGATTTTCCTGAGTTTTATGATGCAACGTGATCTTTTGAGGTAGGACAGACACTGGTAGATCTGAGTAATTTAGCTTAGCATGTAGATAAGATTTGTAAGGTGTGAAAGCACTCAGGTGGGAAAAACAAAGGCATCTGCCCAATTTACAAACAGCAAATATGGCAAGATTTGTGCTGATCTAGAGTTCCTAGAGGGAAAAAAAAACTGTCAGAAAGCCAAAGGCAGCAGTACTGTGTTGGGAAGGCTTTACCTTGAGCAACAGGTCACCAGAGGGGTGAAAGAAGGAATGAAGGGCAGGTTGGTACAGGTGAAAATATTAAGCTAGTCCTGGGGGTGGACAGTCATCCTCCCACAGCATGCTGTGCACATTTCTCCCATAAAAGACAGTATACTAAGATGGATATTGTTTGCCCAGTCTACGGCCCTTTCAGCAGCCAGGTGTGGCAATAGGCATGCTGTTGGATCCGATCATATCAGAGCCAGGAACAGTCTCCAGTGTCAGGCACAGCAGGCAAGAGTAAAGCCTGGTTTTCCTTTGACCCCAGCTTGGGGTAGCTAGTGCAAGCCATTCCTATTGAATCTGTGAGGGTTGTGGAGTTGCACATAAACTGTGTAGCAGTGTCCTTGGATGAAAAGACAGATGACTTATGGAAAACGACCATGGAATAAAGAGGACTAGATGACTAATACCTTCCATCCCCATTTCTGTGATCAGCATTGCTCTTCTGAAGAAACTATTGATACAAGTGATGAGATATTTTTGTGCTATCTTGGACCTTACCCCCCTCCTCAGGCTGGAGAATTCTAAGAGCAATTGACACACGCTTGGAGTAGATGATAGTAGGCTTTCAGAGGTCCTGCCCACCTGCTGTAAAAATGCTTCAAATTTGGAAGAGCATTTAGAAGAACATTAAAAATTGAAGAGTTTGAACAATGGTATGATAGAAAAGAGCACTCCCAGGACTCACAGATTTATTTGGTAAAAATCTCAGTACATAGAAGTGGGTTAGTCCCTTGAAATTATTGACCAGGGAGGTCTAGGAGGCCTCATAAACATTTAAAGGCTACTACTACTATTGTTACTTTTCATATCGTAACTAGATAGTAAGTCCCTATTACTGAAGACATCACACACTTTGGTTGCAGGACAGGAAGAAACCAAGGTGGGAGTTAGCTGGAAGCTCCCTCACTGCTGGCTGCCTTCTGTAATGTAGGGAGGTGCTATGTGAGTTTCTTGGGGACAATTTTCACAAACAGAACTGCTCTATTATGGACCCCGTGTTCGGTACTACTGACACAATAGGCAAGATGTACTCACCGATGCAACATAGGCATAACCATCATTGATGCAACTAATTGGTTTTGTATTGGAATTTAAGGGTGATTCCAAAGGAAGAAACTAGTGTTTACAACTATAAGACAAAAACCTGTGGCTACCGTTGTTAAATGGGTATGATGTGCCTATCAAAAGCTTTCTACTGTGCCCCTAGGTTACTATAGCTGTCAGTCTTGGTCAAAGAAGGAAACTGGTCTTGTTAACATTAAGTGTGTGTGTGTGT